TGTGTGTGTGTGTGTGTGTGTGTGCATACGCAAGTGCATGTGAGTGTGTGTCTCCATCATAAACAAGAGTTGATGTGTGTGCATGAATGTGTACATGTGAGTGTGTGTGCGTCTCCATCACAAACAAATATTGATGTGTGTGCATGAATGTGTACATGTGAGTGTGGAGTCCACACCGACCCACATACCGGGCACAGGATAAGCAGCATCATCTGCAGCGGCCAGATTTGAACCCTGCGCCTTGAGCCCTCGGTCAGACTGTTGAGGTGGTCAAACAACTTGTCGCAGCAGTCTGGGGAGACGAGAGACAAACCACGGTCACTTCAACAAGCAGTCGCTGAACACGTTTCTACTCTTGTCGACATCAAAAGCATTCCCCTTCTCCTTTTATTTTGTTTGTTTGAGTAAAGAGAAGCGCATCGACACAATAATGGTCATATAGTTTAGTTTAGTTTCAGTGAGAGTTTTACGGCACTGGCAACACAATAAGGTCATATAAGTGATGAAGTTTAGAGGTTTTACAAGAGAGTAACAAACACAAAAAAGAAGGAGGGGAGATCAAGGCGCACGATAGATGTTTGATAGGAAAGAAGAAGCAAACCACACCAGAACACCCACCAACCACCCACTCACTCTTTGTTATGAACTGTGTTCACTGTTCCTAAAAATGGAGATACAAAAAGAAAGCGCGGAGGTCGCGTCTCGTTTACATCAAAAGCATTCCCCTTCTCCTTCTATTTCGTTTGTTTGAGTAAAAAGAAGCGCATCGACACAATAATGGTCATCAGTGCTGGGAAAAAGGAAGACAGACAGACAGAAACAAAAGAGAAGAACATAAAGAAGTAGGACCTACCAGTGGCACCCTCCCAACCACCCGCTCTTCTCCTATTAACGAGATTGTTTTATTTGTTTTAGTAAGAGTTTTACGGCACTTGCAACACAATGAGGTAATAGATGTGCTGAAGATTAGAGGTGTTACAAGAGGGTAACAAACACAAAAAAGAAGGAGGGGAAATAAAGACGATAGATGTTTGATCTAGGAAAGAAAGAGCAAACCACACCAGAACACCCGCCAACCACCCACCAACAGAAGTTTGAGAGGAAAGAAGGAGCAAACCACACCAGAACACCCGCCAACCACCCACCAACAGAAGTTTTGAGAGGAAAGAAGGAGCAAACCACACAACAACATCCGCCAACGAAGTTACTCAGAAACATTAGGCAACTGCTCTTAGGTACAAAATAAAATACTATTTATCATTATTTCATCCTTTAGCGACCGACACAAGAAACAACACTGTACCTTGTAACTCGTCATTGGGCCTTTTCTGCAGCTCTGTGAACTCTAAGGGGTAGTTGTCCATCCAGTTCCAGATGGCCTGTGCACACACACAAGAGACAGACACACGGATTAACTCTTGTTTGTTGGTTTTAATAAGAGTTTTACAGCACTTGCAACACAATTAGGTCATATTAGTTTCGAAGATTAGAGGTGTTACAAGAGAGTAACAAACACAGAAAAGAAGGACGGGAGACAAAGACGATAGATGTTTGATAGGAACAAAGGACAAAAGCATACAAGAGCACATACCCACCAACAACCAGATTAACTCTGTTTTACGGCACTTGCAACACAATTAGGTCATATTAGTTCCGAAGATTAGAGGTGTTACAAGAGAGTAACAAACACAAAAAAGAAGGACGGGAGACAAAGACGATAGATGTTTGATAGGAACAAAGGAGAAAAGCATACAAGAGCACATACCTACCACCCACCGGATTAACTCGAAGAATAAAGACGGTCTGTGTACACACAGAGACAGACACACGTATTAACTCTTAAAGAATGAGAAGGCTATTCCCTGTTATAGCAACAATAGTTTGAAATATGTATCAGTTAGCATTTTCAGCAGAAAAAGAAATAGGTTTCAAATTCAAGCATGAACTATCCATGAATTTTTTTTTTTACAAAAAACAAAAAAAGAAAAGAAAAGAAGAAAAGAAGAACGAAGATCTGTTAGAATATGAGGATACAGCTGAAGAACATGCAAACAGATATTTAGAATCAATAAGGAAAAGAAAAAAACAAACAATTATGCAGCGCCTAGTCTGTAGACTTGCCGACTTTTTTAAGGGTATAAAAAGTTATTGGTATAATCTTAAAGCTCTTAACCCTTTGAACCCGTTACAGCCTGGGCAATATTTTGCTGTATACCATAAGGCCGGTTCACCGGGGCACGGACTACCCTAAGTTGTGTAGTCCGTCAAAAGCACTCTCTTTATTTCTTCTTCGTTGCCTTACAATATTTCCATCTTGGAATACGGTAAACAAGGGAGTGAACACATGTGTGTTTATTTCTCCATGTTCTTCCCCTCAGTCTGTGTGTGCCCTCGTGAACTTTGATCAAATTTGCGAATAATATCCAGGGATAGAGATTTGAGAAATTTCAAGATTTAGGGTTCAAAGAATTAAAGTTGAGAATCCAAAGACCTATATTCTAGCAGAAACAGCAATCATGTGAGTGCACAGAGGAAGACAACAACAACAGCAAAGAGTTTCTCTCATTCTCTTACTCTCTCACCTTCTCGAGGTTCTGTCCCAGGATGATGATGACCGGTCGAGACTTGAGCATTTTAAACTTGGACACAACTTCTGTCAAAATAACACAATGAGCATCACAGGGAGGACAGAAAAAGGGGTTTGTTTTTTGTTTTTTAGGTGGGGGGGGGGAATAATGGGGGAGAGGTGTTGTTTGTTGTTTGTTTCCTTGTATACTTTGGCTGTCTGAGTTGATTTTCTTTTTTTGAGCTTCTTCTTCACCCTTCATATTGGCCACTGAGAAGATTGAGCAAAAAGCTCTGCTAGATTCTAAGGTTTCTTCATTTTTTAAACTTTGGTTTCTATCGTCTGTTAGTGTGATTTTCACTTTGAAGCAATAGAAACGAATTCAGCCTGAAGGCCATACAACCTTTCCCTTTCCCCCCGTTGAGTCCTTGACTATTTTGTATTTTTTTCGGCATGTCAAGGACAAAGTATTCTTTTGAATGTTTACGTATAATTTTTTAAAAACCCAGCTTTTTCCTAATGAAACAAGTAGGCTATAGGTTTCACGATTCAAAAGATACTTTGATGGAAACTTCAGATCAAAATTGTCAATGTATATAAAATACACAGAGAGAGAGAGAGAGAGAGAGAG